AGCAAAAGAAAGAACCCATCGTGCTCTTGTCGGGCTCGTCCGGCTCCTCCATACTTAATGACACGTGCACGTCACACGCGAGGCACCTGTCGACGCACAACAAGCAAGAAGGGTTCATGTTGGCATCGTGAGCCACAAAGAAGATTGAACTGCAAAAGAGGAGAGCGCTGCGAACTTATTGCCTGCTGCGGACAATCAAGCGGCACGCAGAAAAAGACGAGGGTTGGGGACAAGCGAGAGCCAACATGACGTGAAAACCCTGTGGCTGCGACGAGGCCGCGAGCCACAAAACCACGCAAGTCCAACGTATGGTGCGTACGGTTCGACCTGGTGCACACTAGAAAATGATGTGACAAGGCCGGGAAGAAGCAAAAGGACGAGCGCTGCCAAACTCTTACTCGCCGCGGACAATCAATCAAGAGCCACAGGATCATCATGTGACTGTCAAGTGACGAGAGACCAGAAACGGTCACAGGCTAGCAAATAAAGCAACCACCGCAGGAAGAAAGGTTGGTAGCGTTGCGAAGGAAGGCGCTCCTGTACGCTGCTGTCGTGACGATGACCAGCGTTGCCAACGCGCCGCCAGCATTGCCAACACGGAAACAAGGAACACGGAAACTACAGTACACTCACTTTTCTCCAGGGAACAAAGTTTCCGGCCCGAACTCCGTGGATTTGCACTTCAAGCAGACCTTCTTTGCGGCTTCTTCCGGGGTAAGCTTCGGTTGCTCCCTGGGGGAATGCTCGTGCTTGTCTACCATGATTCCCCCAAGCCTTGGACGTGTCGGTGGGCATGGTACAAGCTTAACACCCCTCCCAACAAAAATTAATACTGAAATGATAGGTGGGCGGGTGGCTGGGGGACCCCAAAAAGCAAAGCATGAAAAAAGAAAAAAGACAAGTGAGCCAGGCGCGACAGGCTTGAGGGAGGAGGGAAAAGAAAGCATAGAAAATCCACCGTGGTCGTCGCTCGCTCTGGGCCGCTGGAAAATGTCACAGAGCACTGCATGGCCAGCACTAGGTAGGGCCCAAGTCCATTGCTTGACATGAACAGGTAGCGCACATCGCCTCACATGCAGCAGCCAGGTGCACGGGTAGCCTCTTACTCAGCAAGAAGCGAAGCCACTGCGGTTGACGTAGTTCGAGTTGTTGGGACCCCACCGGCGAAAGGCGAGAGAGAAAGGTAGACTAACATAAGAGAGCGGAGATAAGACAACGCATTCACTCTCGAGAAGACACTCACTCACTCTCGTCCCTTTGGCCCACCGCAGGTTGTCAGACATGTGTAACGAACGGCGGTATCCGACGCGGGCTCAGCAACAACAAACACAACAACCAAATAGACTAGAGTAGTGCGGACGTTCTTTATTCCTGTGACGAAGTGAGAACAACAAAGAACATGACTACACGGACGAACTACAGTATGAAGTCCGTCCGCGAAGATGTGTACCGCTGGACGAAGGAGCAGACTGTTCGTTGCCATACCTCACTTTCGTACATAAGATTGCGCTGTCATCTGCCTTATCGCTCAAGTTACGACTAACTACGCAGCAGGCTCAAAAGGCAGCAACACGATTATTCGATGCATGCCACCCATGCATATGCAGCAAAATATAAATAAACCTAAGGCGGAGCACCTGTTGATTTCTGTCTCGACTGGTGTGCTGCTGCTTCTCTTCATGGACAACGACACAACAGGGAAAAAAGTAAGAGACGCGCATCGCCAACTACGCGAGCAACGCCTACGCGAGCAACGCGTGCAGCCCAAAGCGACAGAGACCATCACCTTACAACCTTTTCTGAAGCAGACTCTGCAACAGCCGCATGGTCACTCAGGAAGAAAATCATAAAAAAAACAAAAATTGTGGCGCGCAGCACGCAGGACCCTCTTTCGCTGTTCAACCGGCCGTTCCCATGGCGAAACGGACAGGAACAGTCAAGGCCGGGTCGTGTCGGCCACAGGAGGTGGAAGCTGCTGAAACTCGGAGAGGGGTCATGTTTTGGGATTCCCTACCGAACCATACTTGGGGTGCCACGAGATTTGCACTGTAGCTCGAGATAAGCATTTGAGACCGGGTCGGGCAAGGGGTGCGGGATGCGAATGAACCTTCCACCCACGGATATCGAACGATGAGACTGAAGCTAAAACTTCAGAATTTTGCTGTCGGAGTGAAGATGGCGGAGACCCAGGGAATCGCGTCCACGAAGCAACGCGGCGAGAGCAGAGGTAGGCCGCGCCTGTCATGCGGTCGTTCCGTGAGCAAACGGGGTACAGAGACTCTCCGTTGGTGATATCGCGCTCACATTTAAGATTCTTCTCCCATCCACGACCGTGACGATATTCTTCGTGTGGCAGGCTTTGGACGAAGTGATGTCGTTTGCTCTGCAGCAGCAGGAGGATGGGGTGAAGGTATCGCAAGAGGACGTCGACGACGTGCGAGATTCCGGTCGCGCTCTCGCGGCCAGCCTCGACGACTTCTTGGCCCTCGCGCCGCCGGAGGACCTTCGATTGGTCAAAGATCTTGTCGCGGACCCCGCACGACAGTAAAGAGCTGCTGTTGTCGTAACAAAATGAGCAAATGACTGCTGTTTTCATCGAGGATGTGCTGGTCGGGGGGATCCATTAGCTCGAATGTGAAGTGTAGCAAAGCAACGATTCAGGGTGTGTTGTATGACGATGTTTTAGTCCCCTCCCTGGTAGACTAGATAGACTGGACATGCTTGGAGATCACCCGTGTGGGCGTCGTTTTATTTCTTGCATCTTCCAACAGTAGACTTGAGTGGTGGTGTACAAGGGCAATGATAGATTCACTAGACGCAAACACGCCTTACAATACCGTTGGAGTTGCCGTTCCGAGGCAAGAAATAAAGGCGTCCGGTGTTCTGGAGGTTGACCTCAATACGATGAACAAGTTAACCCATGCGTGCGCGGCTAGAGGGCGGTGCGATTGTAGGTGAAACCCAGTCGCATACGCTCGGTCGATGGGTCCTAGGGCAGTACATGCCTGATGTTTTCTCAATAAATGCCAGCCTTTGTTGCAGGCAATCGAACCCAAGGTTGTTTTCAACCTGTACTGTAATGCGGACATATTTTGGCGATGGACAACGAAGTACCGAAGGGCCGGGGATATAGCACACCTGTGCGATCTTTTTCAATAGCTTCCCCCAAGTACAGGCGGTATCTCCGATCCTTGTTTTGAAATTTCAATCCCTCCGCTCCTTAGCTCGAAGCGCATAAAGGTTCGTCTCTCCGACCCGTGGGCTACGGGAAAGACGCGGCTGCATCATACGTACTACCGAATACTGGCCCCGTCTTCGTTTTACAGAACGTGAACCCGCCTACAGAGCAACAAAGAAGTAGAGTGGTTGAAACGTCCGGAGACCATGGACGCAGGGGGGCAATAATTAAGTGACGAGCTTTGAACGACTGCAGGGAGTGGCAACGGAGTAGGGGGAAAGAGAAATTGGAAGGTGTGCCTAACGTAGGGTTCGATTGTCTGCTGGAAGCCCATTGCCGCCGATGGTGTAGCTGCCCCCATCCATGTGCCTACCATTGGTAGGATGCGGCACACGTGTACGCTTTCGTGCGCGCGCTGTGGCGAGAGAACGTTCGGCTGCCGACAGCAAAAAACAAAATTGTACAACGGCGGTCTTGCATAATGCCGTGAGACCCCATCATGTACCGCGGGGAAAAACAACACTGGGACAACGCGTCAGTCTCATGTCGTAGCTCAGTACGATTCCCAGACCACTCGCGGCAGCACGCAAACGCCGGCAGGAAGTGAGTGTCTCCAGGAGTTAGCATAGGAAAACACAAGACATAAATTGCCACAACTGTCCGGTTTCTGATTTTTGACGCCGAAAGGGTGCGCTTTCTCCCCGACTCGTGCAAAACCGCCGGCCTAGCGTTCTCCCTCGACGACGAATAGCAGTACCCGCTCTAATCTTTGCCGGTCAATCATCCGGCAGTGTCCTTCTGCAAAGGTAGGGCCGCCTCTTTGACACAGTCGAGCTTTCCCTCCGCCAGCATCGTCTGCACGTGCTCGTAGCCCCTTTGTCTCATGAACAACAGCCCTTCCTGGTTCGTGAGGCTCAGGAACTTGCCTCGCCTCGCTGCCATCACCTCGTCTTCATCGTAGTCGAAGTACACTTGAACGATTTAGAGCAAGGACGTGTTGAGGAAAGGGTGTCGCGAGGGCGTCAATCGGGCTGTTGGAGGTAAGGCCAACACCAAAGAATGCACGGTTTCTCGCGAAGCTTGCGTCTCTCGGAAGCTTGTGTCTCAAGCCCGCAGTTTTCGGTTTCGCGTTTCGTGAAACAGAACGTGCTCCTTCTTTTATGAAAATGGTGCTCGTCACCTGTTGGTCTGTCGTCTCCCAGCGATAGGTCTTCGCGGCTCGCCCTGAAGGAACCGTCGACGAATCTGGCGACGAGAGGCGGTCGGTTGGGGAGGGTCTCAAGGGTGAGTGACAATACCAGAACCTCGGCAAAAACATCAATATTTTGACGCCACAGAATGGGCCACTACACCGGCAGTACTGCTGTATTGCACCCCGGGAAATCCAAACGGTGCAAAACGCAATGTCAATGACACGGCAAGGCGGGGGATCAAGGGAGCGTCAAGCCTGGAGGGAATCACATTCCTTGGTCGAGCGCAGAACTGTTACCAGTTTTTTCTGGGGATGTGGAATGTTTCGAGATTTGCGTTCTGACACGGAGACACACACACGTTTTCTACATAGCAGATCGCACGGTGTCGATGTCTTCGTGCGTGGCACCCCGCCAGGTACGCCTACTCTGTTGTTGCACAAACGCAATGGCTTGGCCGAAAAGCCTGCCATAAAAACGTGGAGTCTCACAAAACGAGTTCCTCTGCCTTGCATACGAGATGCGTTTACGGCCTGCGGCGGACAGTTGGGGGTCATTCCTCACAAGTCGGTCAACCATAGGAGCAAGCAGAAGCTTGCAACAAGCCATAACCAAAAGACCCAAATGAAAATCCGCAGCGTATTACAATACACCGGCACAGCCAGCAATTTAAGAACAACACTGTCAACACGACGTGCTGATCAGGCTTCCTTCGACGAGGAACGCCACGAGCTCTAGAACCTCGCCGTGTATGTGCCGACTACGTACCGCCCCCCCCTATGTCGTGCCGAGAAGTGCTTGTCCATGAACCACGGGATGTGTACGGAGGCCATGCACGCCTTGATGAGATCACTCTTGCTCGTGAAGTTCGACACCGCTCGTCGCCTGAACGGTCTGGGCCAGATCCCGATCACCTGATGTAAACGATTCAAACCCCACATCGTGGACACGAGAAATTGTTTCGGAACGTATTGATCGATAGAGAGGTAAGCTTTCCGACCAAACTGGAAGAGATTGCGAACAATCTGCCCAGAACCTACGTGCTGTCGATGACAAGCAGAATGCGGAATAGAATTTTCTGGCCCTGCTACCATTGAACGTACCGCGTCCTTCAACTCAGAACGTTAAGATGTTGCAGTAGGCACAGCTCCATCGGCGGCCAACCAACGGCCACAACCCGGCGCCGGTGGCGAAGGCTGCATCTGCCTATAGAGGCGAGTGGCCTGAGGGCGGGATTGAATCACTTCAGGAAGCACTCGTATCCCCCCCAAACGTGAACCCTTGCTTGCTTGATGAAACCTTTCCAGTTGTTTTCGATACTGTACGGGAGGTACAAGTACGTCCTGACGCCGAAGCAAAAGTAGTTCCCTGATACACCAGGTGCGATGCGCGTAGCGGGTGTTGTCTTTGAGTTTGGACGTCGACCAGCAGCGCTTCTTCGTGAAACCGCACCCACCAACAAATGCACGCGGTCTTGACAGATTACGTCCGCGTCGTCTGGAAGCAGCTCGTCGAGCCAGTCCTCCACCATCGCGCCCCACACACCGGCAAGTCCCAGCGGTCGGGTCCAAATCTGCGGTGACGCACAACGTCCATCGCCAGGGCTATAGCATTGAACATGTGAACAATTAGAATACGATTGGCCAGCTCGAGTTGGTTCTAGTGTTCCATAGATGTTGGGTACGGCAGAGCCAAGACATGATAACATTCAACATCACAATATAGACGAGGAACATGTCTGAGAGGAGGAGGGCTCCAATACTACAGATAGACCTATGCAATTGAGTATAATAACCTACAGGCAGTAGTCGCCTGCGTTTAAAGAGTGTACACTGCACGGTGACCTCGATCATCTCGTATCGGGGCGAGGCCACCTCCGTTGGCCACCTGCATTTGTCTACACGCATGAGGGCGGGGCAACCACCCCACCGTCAGCAGTGCCGCCGTTGCTCACTGCGCGCTGTGCACCCGCCGTTACCTCGTTGGTATCGCAGAGGTCGAGAGCCAACTTCATGGCGAGATCCATATCCGCGTCACAAGCGGCAAGCGTGGCCGCGAGTGACCCCGCCGAAGCACCGACAAAATCGAGGGACGATAGGTTGTAACGCTCCTGTAACGCGCTAATGACACCCGCTTGCCACTGGACACGCAAGCAAAGGGGGAGAGCACGGACGGTCGGAGGAAGGGGTTTCGATCACGCGAGGTACTTCAAGCTGACGACAGTCTCGGAAACGAGTGTGGGCGTAGAACCCAGCCACATGAAGAGTATGTGTATGGGCAGTGTCGTGGTCGCCCTAATCCCAAGTTTTTGATGTTTTCGAGGTCACCATAGATTGCGATTGATCGACACCCCAGAACAACTTTGAATACGACATGATATCTAGGCTACTGCTGTAACGGCTTGCTTCGTCTTCAGCAGTACATGTACGCTGAACATTGGGTGTCTGTATACTGCTGCATCATCGCCGGTCAGTGTGGTTGAGCGTTCGTTTGGGGGTTACGGAGGTAGCGCAAGTTTGGCGGAGATAGTGATCCTGTGTGCAGTCTGCATTGCCAGCCTTTGTCCGCACTGCCATCGCTCTCATACACCCGTCGTGCTTGTTGGCGCAATGCTCGCTGCTGCTGCCATAGACTATAATTGCGCCGCGTACAACTGCATATAGAATTGAGCTTGTCGTAGATACTCCAGACAAAGGGGCTCACCCAAAAGAAAATCCCACCCCCGGGAAAGCTCAGTACTGGCTTGCCGGATGGTGGTAATACAGCAGGAGACGCAACGATGCCCTCGTCGTTGGAGCCTGCGGACAACGTCAACCGTCTCCGCAACGCGGCGGGATCAGGTGTCCCGTGGGGAGAGGGGAGAAAGGTCGATTTCGGCGCCGTGTTGCCGCGTAGAACAGAGGAGATTGGCAAAAGGAAGGCGCCCACGTGAAGGACGTTGCTGAGCACTACCATCGCCCTGAAGCCGCGCATACTGCTAGCCACCAGGGTGGCCCCACGGGCGGCGAGATTGATGCTGCGTTTGACTTCTGGAACGTAGTACATGTTTGGCCGTCCCCGAGGTTGACACAAAAACGCCGCTCTTTGTGTAAACCCCAAAAAAATGTTCCTCTTTGCAGCCGTCGGGGCCATCGCGTGATCGGGCTTGCTCTTTTTAAGAGGAAAAGGCTGATCATTTAGAGCCCGGAGAAAGGCAGTATTGTTTTCTCCAGCTGGCTGGTGACTGTTGGGCAGATACCGATCCGAAGCCTCTGCTGTTGGCATAGAACCTCTCTCTCTCGGCCGCTTGTAAACCATACCGCCGTTCTAACGCATGTTCGCATGATGATCTAATGCAGGATGTGCGTTCATATTCATACGGGCGGTTCAGCACAAACAAGGATGGCTCGAGACCTCGGTGTTGTAAGTGGGCACAGGCGCAAGCAAAAAAAAGGACACCCGAAAAAAAGATCGGCGAAAAGCCTGATTACGATATTCACCATTACATTTGGCCACAAAAACTCCGCCGTTGTGTGTGAAGGGCGGCTACTCTGCTCGTTCGTAGCAGGTGGCAAAACGCTTCCTCCGATTGTACAAGGCCCTTGAAATTTTACGCCAAAGGGGTGGCCACAAACTCGTAATCTTAGATGCTCCTGGGAGAAAATGTTCTGGCCACGCTGCACGCAGGCTACGCCGTATCATTTTTCAAACAAAACGCCATCAAAGAGCATTGAAACGAAGTGTAGACATCACACGTGTCGTTGAACAATGTACCCTCCGACCTCGCCTTGAATAGTCAGAACCACCGAGCAGCAAGGGAATCTATGAAAACGGCTAACACCCTGACACAACAAACTGCTCTGTGCATGGATGACACACTCGACGCATCAAAAAACAGATAAAACAAAGCACAGCTACAGTACACACTACTACTTCTTGAAGAAACGGCCGAGGGCGGCAGGGGCCTCTCGAGCCTGCGCCTCTCTCTTCCTGGTGTCCTCTCTCGCTCTCTCCCTCCCCTGCTCGGCCTCCCTCTTCTCCCTCAGCTTCTTCGCCCCGACGTCCACGACATTCTTCTGCTTCTTCTGGAGCTTCTTGGCCACCTAGTGTTTTTTTTTGGGGTACACCCATGCAGCAAACAAAGCGCACCAGGCATGCCCGGCGATAGCAAGAGGAAACAATGCTCAAGAAACAAGGTGTGCGCAACACAACAGACCGATTACGTCGTATAAGGCTCGTCAAATAATTTCGCAGACCAGGCGACTTGTGCTGGAAATGATACTTTGATGTCTTCGGAAATTGGGTGATCAGGGGCACATGTCCCAGGAATCGACAGAAGAAGAGAACAAGGAAACGCCCAAGAATGGTGAGCAAAACACCCCACCAGGGGCCCTTGTCGCACCCGGGAACCTCGTGGTGCCGACGACAGAAACATCACGCGCCGCAAGCAAGGCGTCTTGGAGGCACAAATACATGCAAAGCAGGGCGCTTGCATGCGGTAGGCCGGCGACACGAACACACTTCGGCCCCCTTGGCGCCGCTTGTGTGCAGCCTCGTTCTCTCAGCAATGAAAACGAAACGTGAAAAAAACAGAACCCTTGTCCAGGTGGCGCGGTGGACACCGTAGGCTCTTCGGCCGCTTCCTACAAATATCTGGGTAGCTGACAGCACCTTCACTTCAGTGCCTGGAAACTGTGCTTCCAAAAGCATGACAGCAATTTTCGACCGCAACATGAACCAGGCGTCCTACTGCAGGCCATCTAAGACGTGCGCAGATTACGACTTTGAACGACCGCCCTGCTGACAAGCTGCTGCAACAGGAGCGACGGCTCGATGCCCGGAAAACAGCCACGCTCGTTGCTAAATTGTTGCTGCGTGCTTGTTCGCCGGGTGCTCACCTTGCTCCTGCCCCTCATCTTCTTCTTCTCCTTGACCACCTTCGGTCCTCTCGTATTGGCGGCCTCCATGATAGCTCGCTGAGAAACGAAAAAAAAAAAAACAGACACCAGCGACAAACGCGGTAGGTGGGAGTGTAAGGTGAACAAGCGTGAAAGAAAATAGAAAAAACCACAAACAAGAGAGTACCGTTAAACCAAACACATGCCAACACAGAAAACGAGACAAAACCAACAACACGACAATACAGAACTGGCACTCCGCAAAAAAACGGAGCTCCTACATGTCATCGAACACTACAAACCGGTGCTGAACACATTCGATTAAACTGCATGAAACCGCATGAAGCAACACCATAAAGCCAAAAAAAACTTCTACGGGCTCGCCACAGCAGTCATCGAGTACCTCCACATCTAGACCTGGGCATTTTGAGTTTTCCGGCGGTCACTACCGACATGCCTAGCCTCTGTGTGGATAACCTAGCGACTAGGTGTGCTGGTGAGAGCTGAGTTAGTTAGTGATGAGCAACCCCCTCAGCTCCCCCCGTTTTTTACTTGATACATATTGTACGAAAGCGAGTGAAGTTTTCGTATCTTCATTCGGGCAAAGGCTGCTGGGATGTAGGGACTTCGCACACCCATCTCGGGATTCAGTAATACATCGACCCCCCCCGCCGCCCCCCGATATGAGTACGCGTCACCCCCCCTCCCCCGGACCGCGACCCGCAAGCAACGATTCCCCCTTTTCAAGCCCCTTTTCCACTCGTCAACCCCACATGCTGGAAGCGACCCAGCGCTCCCCTGCCAAAACTGACAAGTATGGCCCTACAGAAATACTCAAGCCAGGTGA